TATATATATATATAATAGAAATTTCACTTCATGCAGCCATCTTAATGTATTTGAATCCCTTGCCTTGTGTTTTTATTTCATGCTTTTCTCTGCCCCCATGAAAAAACAATGGCCCCCTCCTGGCCCCCTGGTACATTTGGTCTAGAACCGCCACTGTTCACTTCATAATCCGTCAGATAGTTCTGGTCAATAAGGTGCAGAAAATTAAACATAACTTTGAAAACTGACAACATCTTCTTTAAGTTAACATAATTTAAGGGGGAATTAATCCATTTAGAGATATAGATTCGTATACACCTAGGAACTATATAATCGAATGTTAACGAGCGTCAGTCTGCTAAAAACGTTAAACTTTTGGTGGAGCTTCAGCAACATTAAAAAATTTATTACAGAAATAAATAAACGTAAGGGTTACTTCGGAGCCTTCTGTGAAAAAGAAAAGCAACACAGTAGCTTGACATGTTTCTGGCTAGTGTTAGTTTAGCTAACGCCTGACAGCCTGTTCAGACAGGAAGCAGCTTTTCCAATCATTTCTTCCCAACAGGAACACCGACTTACCTTAAACGCCTTTTCTGTTTTATGCCTGAGTGACGCCAGTGTTTTAACGTCCAAATGTCAATGAAATTCGACGACCGACATGAAGCCAACAGGTGACTCTACCCAGGTAAATGGCTACACCCTCTTCCTCCTTTGGGAGTGACACCGTCCGGACGGAGCTCTCCTCCGAAAGCCTCCAGGCTTCAGTCCCAAAACGGTGACGACAAAAGTCCCATCAAACGGGTTTAATCTGAGAGTGGAGAGAAGGACAGAGGTCTCACTCTGACTTAATTCTGAGCGCACCAACGTAGGTAGCCACGCCCCCTGTGGGAAGACTAGTTAAATGCCAGATTTTTTTCACTGGAAAAACAGTTTTTTTATAACAATATTTTAACCACTTGACAGGAATAATAACAAATGAAAAAACGGCCACATGTCATCAGAGTGATACATCTAAAATTGAATATGAAAAAGTGTCTTACAATTTCTTTTTTTGTGTGGTTTCCCATGTATTTGGACCTAAAAAAAAAAAAAAACACATTACAGTTTTAATTTTTTTTAAATATATTTTTACATTTTATTTTATAGCATCTCCACTGTTATGGAGGTCTAATCCTCCCATAATTAAAAATAAATACATAAATAAATAAATGGTCCAAAAATAAACAAGCATACAATTAATTGCCCCCAATAAACAAATAAATGTAGATAGAAATTAAAATTTACAGTGAGACACAAATGTATGCATCTCTTTTAATTAGCTTCTTTCTTTTTTTGGCCTTTGTAAAAATTACCTTATTTATTTATTGCACGTTATAATCTTCAACTTTATTTATTTATTACTTATTTCTTTAAGTATTTATTTATGTGCATGTTATACTATTTTTGTCTGTAGAGGACAACAGGACGATTTGCATGGGGAAATAGAACAAGCTTAAGAAATAAAAAATTGTCTTGAAAGTAATATTTACCTAATATAAATATTATCTAGATAAGATAAAATTCTCTAACATTCTTCTGTTGTTTGTTGCTTGCAAGAGCAAAAATACATTTATTTAGTTCAAGCATCTGGAAGCATCTTTTTTTTTTGGTTATGCAGAGGAACATCTTGCATTTGGAGCACCTCATGCATGCCTTGCCATTGCAGCCCTTATTCCTTCATCTTTCCGCATGTTTTATGTCCATCATCTCTGGCACATGTCTGGCTCCTAGTCTGCGTACAGATGGCTCTGTTTGTGGAATCCTTGTTTTGGTTGGTGGCTAAAACTCTTCTTCACTGTCTTTACTGCTGTCATCAAATGCTGGACTATCCATCAGCTCTTCAGCCAGGTGCAGTTTGTTGTCCAGGTACTGCTCTGTGTTTTTAGTTGGTTCATTCAGCGCTGTACTGTCAGACTTGTACTGAATTCAAGCATTTGAGATGCTTTGATCATTAGAATAAAACAATTAATGAGTCCTGAAGTCACAGTTACGACATTCAGTCATGATTCTAAGACATAAAGTCATAATGATAAGATTAAAAACTAAGATTTCAACTGTTAAAGTCATAGCATTGAAATTCAAAATAATATTTCAGAGTTAATTCAATTCTGTTTATTTCTATAGCACCAATTCACAACACATGTCATCTCAAGGCACTTTACAGTTCAACCAGATCATACATTAACATTGGTTTAAAGTTTTCTATCTAAGCAAAACCAGTTGATTGCATCGACTCATTGACTCAGATGCAATCCCTCACACTAAGAATGCTTGTAGCAACAGTGGAGAGGAAAAACTCCCTTTTAACAGGAAGAAACCTCCAGCAGAACCAGGCTCAGTGTGAGCGGCCATCTGCCGAGGCCGACTGGGGTTCAAGGAGACAGAAGCAGAGATACAAAAAGCAACTATAAAAGGCGGCCCCGTCCAGGAAACACACAGCCAGGCAGACGAGCTCTGAGCCAACTCTCATGTCAGAGAATAAAGAAGTTAAAATAGGTGGGTTTAAACTCATAGTTATAAAACATCAAAGCTTTTTTTTCAGGGATTTCACCCTTTAGTAATTTTATGTAGTTATTAAATTGGAATTCAAATGTATAATTTGACTTTTTAAGGTCATCATTTGAAAATTCTAAGTAATAGTCAAATGATTCAAAGTTATATTGATGAACTACAACAAAAAGTGGCATAAGTGGGTTTATATATAGATATTCACCAGTTTTAGTGAATTTAGGGAAATCTTAAGGGACCATTTATAATGCTTTACTTTGGCGTCATCTGTTTTGAAAAAATTTGTCTAATTAAAAAGAGTAAACCTGTCCATATCACAATTATTCGCATTAACTGTGTGCAATGAAATATATAGAAAATACAACAAAATGTTGAAATTCCATTTAATCAGGGCGTTTCCACTATAGAAAATCTATGCATCCATCAAAGACACATAGCTTTGTGTAATCTAGATCATTTTTAAAGCATGTGAAATATTTCATATTTTTAATAACGATCCAATATTTCGTGACACTTTTACTTTGTCAAATAATTATACTATTAAACTGACAGTTGAATAATTTAAAAGATAAAAAATATATATATTTGACTATACTTAACACATCACTTCTTAAAATTATTATTTTTTTCTATCTTAAAGTAAAAATAGAACATAATCTGTTATTCCTAGATCTCTTTTCTGGAGAAGCTGGTAGCCGCTAGATGGCGCTATTTACCCAATAAATAATTATGTGGGAAATTGAGGCACCACCACTAACCAGCATATACTTTGTTTTATTTGATCCATCAATTATCAATTACTGTAAATTTTATTAAGTTTTGTTCTGTAAAGCTTAATACTAGCACCAGTCCTGCTTATATGCAAAAAAAACTGTTATTCCAAACTGCACACATTTATTTTGTAATGCTTTAACTTAAAAATCCCTGACCAAGAAAATTAAAACGACTCTTTCACAAAAAAGAGTCTTATAACACATTAAGAGGCACCTTTCCTTTGAAGTGCATATTTTCAGTTTAAGCCCCGTTAGCTTTGCTATTAAGAGCACTACTTAGGATCAAGAAGCAGCAGCCAGTCTGCTGACATGTCCATGAAAGACACTGAACCAGCTCCTGCTCTACAGCTGATGGTGCAGCTTCACTGCTGCAACATCAAGAATTTAATTGTGAAACTGTCATTTACAAAAAGAAGAATTTAACACAACAACACTGACTTGGATGTAATTAGTACAATGCTATATGTTGGCATAGTCATTGTTGTAATGCAACTTTTTAGCTGCTAATATTAAACATATAATAATTTAAAAATTTTAACTTTATTGATCTCACACTGCAGAAATTAACTCTCTGCATTTAACCCATCCCCTTGGGGAGCAGTGGGCTGCCACTGTGCAGCGCCCGGGGAGCAGTGTGGGGTTAAGTGTTATGCTCTGGAACCCAGAGTGGAGGCTGTGGGGATCGAACAGGGTACTTGCAACCTTCTCAGAGCAAAAACATGGTGTTCTAATCATTAGGCCAACTCTCCTCACAATAATACATAAAACATTAAAGAATCCAGAAGTGCATCACAGGAAAATAACAAGAAGAGTACATGTAAGATTGTTAAAACTCTTTTGAAAATGGGGTTAAGTAAACATAGCTGATTAAAAAAATACACACACAATTAGAAATATAAGCAACTCTTGTCACATTAGAGTTAAGATGTCTAAAGACAAGACTGCTGACTAAAAAGAAGCTTTGATTTTTAAAAGATTCAGTACAAACTTTGAAACTGACTGAGGAAGAAATCCTACCAACTAGAATGCTGGATCATAATTAATGGTATAGCAAACTCATTTATATGTGACCAATGCAAACTGACTGGATAATTGAAGTGGAGAATTGAAGTGAAGAGGAAGGATAGTGGTATATAAAATTCTTTTAAGCCATCCTTTTTTTTTTTTTTTTTTACAATAACAAAAAAGGGGGGGTAAAGTTTCTTAGAAAGGTCCAATCTTATAATAAAGTCTGTGCGTGCTTTTTCTGTCACTTGGCATGAGCTTAAGCAGACAGGGACAGTGCTGCAACTTGGAAGAGGACGCTGTATGTGTTTCTACAACTTGGACAATGATCTCTTAACAAGAGATTTTATTTAGATATAAGAATTTTTCAAAATTTTTTAGCTATAATAAATTATTTCATACACTGCTTCTCCAGTCTTTGATAATCACCCGATAATAGAGATTGAAGATCTCCAGCTGAGGGCCTCTGATGGACCTGTAGGTTCTTGACACTAAAATTATGAATATGAAATATGTTAGACTTATTCTACTTTAGTGCAGGGTTCTCACCGGTTGTTTGTTTTTTCCTGCTCCATACACAACTCCCATGTCTCCCTCCCTCGTCTATTCTTTTTAAAGTAAGCCTATTTCTTTTTCTTTTGCTCTATAATTTAATTCTAGTGAATATCTCCTTGCATAATGTCAGATTGAGCAATGTAAGGACACACTGATCCACCTGCATCAAGGAGGGGAGGGTGTGCAACAATGATGGTCCTTTTTATGGAGCATTTCAGGGCAATAATTGAATGACCATGACCGGATCGGCTGATTCGGTTTTACAGGAAATCATTCCGAACCTTAACATGGAAACTGCACCCCTGCAATGGCGGTGCTAGGGAAAAAAATTCCGGTGGGGCCAAGGTGGAGCCACTGTTTTTCCATGGGGGCACAGATAGAAGAATGAAAAAAAGGACAATAAGTTTTTAACAACCCCTGTGTTCAAAGCTGGTGCTACCTGTCTGCTAGTTAGCCTTACTAGACACATGCATCACCTCATAACATTACTTTAGACAGGCATGTTAAAGGTATAGGTTCTAAGATAATCTCCAAGCTGCTTGATGATCCTGTGACTACAATAGCACATGTTATTTAGAACTGGAACTGCAGGAAACTTCCCTGGATGTGGCTGCAAGGAAATTGTGCACAAATGAGAAGGATAATATGAATAATAACAAAAGAACCCAGAAAAACCTATGAAGAGAATGGAGGTGAGCTTCAAGCTCTAAGAACAAATCGGCTGTCATTATTTTAGCCCATGCTGTGGACTTAATAGGAAACGACAAAGAGGACTCCATTGTAAAAAAGGAAATCATAATAACGCCAGATTGGAATTTTACAAACTACATGCTGACAAACTATAAAGTCTCTAAGAGAATGTCCTACGGACAGATGAGATAAAAATTTAACTTTTTCTTAAGCAACATCAGCTCTATGTTCAGAGATAGAAAAATGAAGCCCAGCCAGAAAAGACACTGTCCCTACTGTGAAACATGGAGGAGGCTCTATTATGCTCTGGGGCTGACTTGCTTCATCTGGCACAGGGTGTCTTAAATCCACAGAGTACAGTGAAATCTAAAGACTATCAATGGATTCTAAAGAGAAATGTGCTCCCCCGTAACTTTTCTCAGATTTAAGCAATTTCTGTGACCATTGTGTTTTCCAATAATTTTTTCCAAATATTCTATATGTATAAGTTCAAGACGAGCCCTGGTTGTATACTGTATAGGCGATATCACACTCTGGTCTGTGTCAGAGCGACATCTCAGCTTTGTTGAGTTTAGGATCAGTCCAGCTGAAATAGCCAGGAAAG